GTGGTTGATGAGTGGGATTTTGGGGGCTGGTGTAGATGCTACACGTGAGTTGGAGGAGCTGCCCGCTGCGCCTGCGCTTCTTTTGCGACAAAAACTCCGACCAAGAGACGCAGAGGCAGATACACAGAGACTGACAATCAGACTGTCTGCATTGGGGGGGTCTGCCCTCTGTCTGTCTGGGCATCATTCCCGGCGACTACAAGCTCTGAGCCAGGGCTGGTCAATCACTTGTGTGTGTGTGTGTGTGTGTTGGGGGTGGGGGGCATTAATTTCACTTTTATAATCTTCACCTTCCCCCATTCAGGAATAATGCAGGATGATCTACCTCTCTTGCAAGCCACTGCTTGCTTAACTGAACGGACGTTATTAGAGAACGCAGACTTTTTTGGGTGAGCTTGCATTTTCCCTTTCGTTTTCAATCAGTCCTGTTGATAATAGTGTTTGAATACTGTTTTTTTTCTCTTTCTCTCCCCCCCTCCCAATTTGATAGTGTAGAGTACCGCTCCATGTACGTATGCAAGTCAAAGCGGGCAATGAAACCAAAGGTAAGCTGGCTGTTCTATCTCATCAGAGATGTACTCCTCATTGCCCACCTTATCCAAACTTCTCACCACTTCTGCTTTCCGTCCGTCCGTTATTTAATATGCTTTAAACCGTATTTCACTGTAAAATTGTCACAGCTTAAAATGCATTGAATATAGCGCATAGCAACAGCGTTGCTTCTCCTCCCCCCCACCCCAGTTAGTGTGTGTGCACTGAAATGATGCTTCTTGGCTTCACGTTTTTAGGAAGCCTATAAACTACCACACAGACTGGTCGAGAAGAAAAGACGGGATAGGATTAACGAATGCATTTCACAGCTTAAGGATCTGCTGCCCGAGCACCTGAAGCTGACGGTAAGGGACTGAAATCTGTGCGTTCTCTGTTAACGCAGTAATGCGTGAGCGTAGCCCCAAAGAAATGGGGAGCTACATATTCACATCTGCAACCAGTGTGGGCTGTTTCTTATCTGCAGCTCAGGGAGCAGTGAGGAGCAGACAAATTTACAAAGTGTACTTATTGCCAAGATTGCAAGTAATACCGATAACTTTGTTGCTGTCAGAACTGTTTTTTTTTAATTATAATTGAAGAAATAATTTATAAAAATTAAATTGCCCCATTCCTCCCCCCCCCCCCCCATTCCATCCAAGTCATTGGGGCATCTGGAGAAAGCTGTAGTGCTGGAATTAACACTGAAACACTTAAAGGCATTGACCACTTTAACGGAGCAACAGCATCAGAAGATTATTACTTTGCAAAATGGTAAGTGACAGGACAGTGTTTTAAACAGACATTCTTTTTATTTCCATACTGTCTTTCATGTCTTTGTGATGCTCTAGAGAGCTTTGCAGCCTTTGAAATACTTTTGGCGTGTAGTCACTGTTCTAGGAATGAGGAAAAATAAAGAGTAGGCGTTATAACAGTTCTTAAGAGTCCTCATGTTGTCAGAGTTGAACCTGAGATCATGTGTTTTCCAGTTAATGTCTTGTATGCCCAGCAGTAGTTTTATTTGTAGAATCATTGAGATTTTGGTAATTGTTTGTTTCTCCAATTTGCTTAATCACCGATTCTGGCTTCCGAAGAGATTGAGGAAGAAACAGGAGGACAGCTGGACAGCAAGCTTTCCAGGTTTTGCCGTCATGAATCTGTTTGTTTTCTCATGGCTGTGCCCAAAAGCTGATTTCCTGAAATACAGTTTGCTTGTGTATTCCCATGTCTGGCATCATTGTACATTCAAGCTGAATGATCTGCTGGCAACTTTCACCCCTATACATACAACTCCCAGAAGGATGCAAATCAAAAATAGGAGACGCAGTGCCCTTATATAAAATACTAAATTTGGCTCAGACCGTATTTATCTCATTGGTTTTATGAGCTTGGCTCAATCTGATCAGGCGTAGCCATTTTAAGTCAATGTTCGCTCCAAAAAAAATTTATTTTAGTTCACAAAGGTCGCAGATATTAAATTTGACTGATGGAAGTTGGAAATTGATAGTTTATAATTTACCACAGTTATGATGAATGAGATATGAGATTTATACCCACATGGGAGGATAGACAAAGGCTTGGTTTCAATTCTGATTCAGGATTTGTTTGTCATGATGTTGGAGCAGTGTTGTTTGGAGAGTAGTTGCACAGAGTCAGGATCTGTCATTTGTGATCTGCCTTTGTGTGTTTTTTTTTGAGGGGACCGTGCCCTGAAAGGTGCCACACAGTCAGATCTGGATGCCTTCCATTTGGGATTTCAGACATGTGCCAGGGAAGTGCTGCAGCACCTGACCAGCTTTGAAAACTGGACTCTGAAGGAGCAGCTGATTGGCCACTTGCACCGAGCTTTCACCCAGCTCCGAGCCAATGGGGAGATGCTGACCTTGGGGGCAGGGCAGGCCGATGCCCAGGTGGTGGCGGCGGCGCCAGGCCAGGCCCGTCCCAGTGGCAACTGCGTCCCAGTCATCCAGAGGACACAAGTGGCGGAGCACACTGGGAGCGACACGGACACTGACAGTGGCTACGGAGGGGAAGGGGAGAGGGGCGAGGGGAGAAGTGAGAAGGAGTTCACTCCGTGTGACACATCCAACCGGACTTGTGACATTAAACAGGAGACCGATGACCCACCGGCCAAAAGGGTTAAAGTTGATCTGGCAGGTCACGTGACCGTCTCTGAGGAAGGCCACGAGCCTGCTGTTCACCCGATGATGGGGATTGGCATGATGCCCACGCTTGGCCAGCAGCCCCCTTTCTGTGTGCCCTTCTATCTCATTAATTCCTCGGCAGCTGCTCCATACGTGCCCTTTCTGGACAAAGCCAACCTGGAGAGATGCTGGTACCCAGCTCCGATTCCAGTCCTTTACCCTGGCATTCCCGCCATCTCAACCTTGCCACCCAATAGACTACTCTGCCAGGACCCCTCCCCAGGGACAGGCCCAGGTTTGCGGCTCCGTGCATGTGAGTCTGAGGCAACTGGACCCCTTCTCGGAGCAGAAGGAGTTTTGAGCCCAGATCTGGAGCCGCTGCAATCACCAGACAGCAAGTCCTGAAGCAGTCACCATGCTCCCATCGCTCCCCTCCATTCTTGCTCCCCACGTACCAAACTATAGAACTAGGCAGCAAATCTCACACAGAGGCCTAGAGGTGGAAGGAAGTGAGGTCCAAAATTAAATAACCCTACACAGAACATGCAGTTTGAGGCTACACAAATTAGCAATCTTTGTTCTGAGGGTGGATAAAGATCAACTTGGATTAGACCCATCTAAAGTACAAGAGTCATAGAACCTTACAGTATAGAAGGGGCCCTTTGACCTATTAAGTCTGTACCACCAAAAATACACTACTAATTCCATTTTCCTATGCTAGATTCGTACTCTTCGAATTGGGGTTTAACCTTTGTTTGCGCTGAGTAATTTCCCGGCAGTCACTTTGCAGATTAACCCCTCCCTCCTTTCAATATTTGTGTTAATGACCCACACATAAAAATGCTGGAGAAGTCATCATATTTTTCTTTCTCAATTAGTTTCAGTTTGATGCCCGTTTGAGTTAAAGATTTCACAACCTGAGTAAAGGTTTAAAAACAGCATGTTCTGCATTTCCCTCTGCCAATGGTTAAAACAAGAAGACAGAATGAGCAGAGGGGATTTCTCTGATGTGTCGAGAACGCAAACCATTTGGATCTTCACACCTTTATTTTTGAGTTAAATACAGATTTCAGAGAGGTCACTGCCTTGTGCCCATCAGTTCATGGCTGACTGCCCGTCTCAGTCCTGCTCGGAATTATGTGTTAACTCTTGTGGCCTTTTTCAGAGATGAAAGTTGCTGGTTGCATTTAATGCTGTTTCTCTCCTGCAGCCCTCTCTCTGCTGTTTTGTCAGAGAATTGAAAGTCACAGTTCAGAACCTCATCACCCAGACCGAGGAGATGGTGGCCTCAGTAAAACCTATTTTTAGTTGTTGCCAAGGCAGCTGGTTTGGTGATGCTGTGCAGGGTTATGTAACAGCTGAGAGAAATTCCTGCCTGAGCATGATCCAACACTTGTACTCATCCTGATTATATTGCTGCTGCTGACTGCCTGACATGCTGTGTCCTACAATATTGTGAAATACATATATTGCCTCAAGTAGCTTTTGTTCGTGTACTGTAAATAGTTTGTGAATAATGATGAATATTGTCTGATATGCTATTTTTGTATGGGGATAATGGTACATGACAACCACTGAATATTTTGTTTTGAATGAACTGAATTTTATGAAGAGTTGTTCAATAATGTTTTGCACTTCTTGTTAGTGCTTTACTGCTTATGCGATATTAAGTTATTATAATAAATATTGTCTGCATTTTAAAAGATAAAAAGTGATTCACTTCCATTATAACTTTAGAGAAAAGTGTGTTCCTTTTCTTTACAAAAGGGTCCAGAGGGGCAGTTTTATTGCACAGAGGATGGGGAGTGTCTGTAGAGGTAGTGCCAGAGGTAGTGGTCAGGGCAAGTACAATTTTTGTCATTTAAGAAACATTTAGGCAGGTACATGGACAGGGTAGATATGGAAGGATATGGACCAGACGTAGGCACACGGGACTAGTTTAATTGTGAAAACTGGGCAGCACACACAAGTTGAGCCGAAGGACGTGTTTTCATGCTGTGAACTTCTATGACTGTATGACTAAATGAATTGCACGTGGCTGGAATTTGTTTAAAATTCTTGCAGTCTATAGCTAAAGAATTTCATCAATGCCGATTTTAGATTTACAGATACTGAAAAGGGCAGTCGTGGGCAACTGGTCAACTCCTACATATTTTGAAATTTAGAATAAAGCTATAGAGAGATGGAAACACTCACTCAGTTTGAAAGGAATTATTAAGAAGTTCTATTTATATTTGCAGTCCTGCATTGATTATGGTTGTCAAGCAATTGGTGATTTCCACTTCATCTGAAAGTAATAGCGTTAATGCTTCAACGTGAAAGTTGGCAATATGCTAAACAACTGATAAATATGCAAATATTGCTATCAACAAATGGAGTAAATTATATAAGCCACATGCCAAATCCATTATTATTGGAGAGGAATGTAAAGCTGGGTCCAAAAAAATGGTCATCCTCAAAATGCACTTTCAGTTGGTTTTGGATGATATTGTAGGATTGACTAAGGTAAAGAGATAGTCCTAGTGATCTAAGGTATGAATTTTGTAAGTTACACATTTGTTATTTGTATTAAAACAGGACAAAGTGCTTCACAAGAGCATTCGAAAATAATACAGACAAACCTGTGTAATATACTAGAGCAGATGACCAAAGTCATGGTCAAAGAGTTGGTTTAAGGACAGTCTTAAAGGAGGGAAGAGAGATAGAGTAGTTTTAGGAGGGAATTGTAGAGCTAATTCTTGGCAGATGAAAGCATAGCCACTAGTGTTGGGGTAATTGAAATCTATTGATGAGCAAGGGCCAGAATTGGAGGAAACCAGCAAACTTGGAGCATTGTGGAGGAGATTCTTAAGAGGCCATTGTCCACGCCCTGCCGTTTCAGATCATGGCTGATCATCTACCTCAATACCACCTTCCTGCAGTAGCTCTATATCCCTCAATGTCAGTAGTCTCTAGAAATGTATCAATGAATGAACTTGAACACATGTATCAATGAATGTCTTGAACACATTCAACGATTGAGGTCCCTAGGTCTCTGTGGGAGTGAATTCCAAAGATTCACCACTCCCTGAGTGAAGGGGAGGCAATGGCCTACCGATAG